TGGGCATTGGAGACGAAGCTGCCCAAACTACCTGAGAGATCTAAGAGATGGGAGAGTCAAGTGTTATGGCTCTTCTTCAGGTATAAAATCCACTATCTAACTCATTTAAGTTCCTATTCTAGATTCTTAATACATGATGTGATAAGATTACATTTTGATGTTTTGTAGGATCGAAGAAACAGAGAGGAAGCTTAAGGGAAGAAGTGAGCTGAATCTGATCGTGAAGAGATGGATTTCGATCGCATTGCTTGAAGATTGGATTCTTGAGCTACTACTTGGAGTTAGAATAAATTGCTCAGAAATATGTAATAGCATAGTTTTCAGTTGAATTGCATTGTAAGGGCAAATTTTTTTTCCGCAATAAAATAAATTTTGATTTTATCTTATTTATTTATCCTTGCAATGGTGTGTATGAAAAATTGATGTTTGAATGTTTCTATTATTAGCAATGATGGGTTTGATTCTTAATTATGTTATTTGTGAAAATGTCGAGAATTTACCAAATAGGGAGAGTTTTCTCATCGCCCAAGTTTCAATTGGACAGAAACTTGGAATCATACAACTTGGTTGCGTGATGAATGAGAAACTTCATATTTGGAAATTAGACTAATTCTTTGACAAAGTGTCAAGAGAAGGACTAGGAAATCGAGTACACTAGGTTGTGCGTTGATCAAGTCCACCACAATAGTGGTAGAGATATTCGTCATGATATACTAAAGTTTAGTAAATATGATTATACTTATAAGATTAAGTATAATTCTGAGTTGATTGGAAAGGTTTCAATGTATAGCATAACGAATAATAAGAATCAAGTAGGCAGAAAGATAAAAGTTTCTCTATTCTAAGAAGAAGGGAGAGTACCTTTTATTATGTTTTATGATAGGTCTTAATGATTAAGAACCATGTCTCAATTGATCCTCTAAGTGAGTCTTAGTGCAATTGTATGTCTAAGAAGAGGAATCGAGAATTAAAGAAATGGTTAAATCAAGAAGTCAATCATACTTCGTTCCAAAATCAAGTCTTAGAGTTAAGATTGTGACATTGAGTGACAAGTCTAAAGAAGGTTTATAACACTCATCAAATGTGGAATTTGGAAAAAGGTTTTCTTATTCTTGCACATTTGAAATTGGTAAGTTGTGATGTCTTGGATAAGACAAAGACCAACCAGGACCAATTGTGTGAAGTGTTAAACTTTATTGAAAGCTACACTAACTCTTGAATATTTGTTTGTCAATAAATGTTTCTTGACAAGAGAACTTTATATGTCAAGGAGTCAGTGGGAGTCTTAATGGTCTTGAAAAGTTTCAAGAACAAATCAAGAATAAACCTAGGTAATCATCACTAGCACACGACTTGAGGTTTAAAGCCTATCATGGATGACATACTCTTTTTCTGTGTCATTCCAATTAAGCTAAATACGTATGTGAGTTCTATGAGTTCTCATTTGTATGCATAAAGGCAAGCACCGTGATCAATGGAAAGTACATTGATATGTAAGGATGAGTTGCTAAACTACTTGGAAGACATGGTGGACACTCGTGTTACCATGAGGCAAGAAATCAAGATTGAGAAATTTCAGTCCATATGGTTTTGGATTTGTCGCAAACCTTCCTTTTGGAAAATTCACATGGATAGGAACACATACACCATAAAATCTAAGTGACATCAGGTTTCCCTCCTTCATGAAAATGATTGTGAGGAAATGCTTTCACTAAGAGAGATTTTAAGAAGATAGCAATTGTGAAAATTGTATTCTCAAATTCGATTATGATTACGGCATCATCTTTCATAGTTCGAATTGTGAGATTTGGCAATTGGTCTGAACATCTGGGACTTAGTAACATAAGTTCTGAATTTGTTTAGACACACATATGAGCTTTCTAAGGCAAAGGTGTACGAGTTTAAGAAGCTTAGATAAAGGCTTATCAAAGCATCAAGTATTAGAAATATGAACTTAAGGAATTCAATAAGCATTGTTCTCTGGAAGTTCAGCTGTTTTCTGAATACATGTCAAAGCTAGTGGGAGCATAAGTGTTATGCTGGTAAGAAAATAATCATCATGTTAGTGGGAGCATGATTATTATGGTAAGTATTGCAAGTTAGCGATATTAATTATAGAAAACAAGAGTTATACTTTGCAAAGTCGCAAGGGTGAAAAGTTGTTTTGCTATAATTAAGGGATAGAATATTATATTTCGTTTCAAAATCTAAAGATTACATTGAGAAATTTTAATATTTTAGTCAAAGGATACATAGTGTGTTCTCAAATTTCGATTATGATTACGGCATCTTCATAGTTCGAATTGTGAGAACGTGACACATAAAATATTATGGCAGAAGATTGATAAAGTATCATATCTTTATGTAAGACATTATGCATCGTGTCCCATACGCTTCGGGTATAGAATCGATTGCAAATGCTATAATATTTGACCATTCTAAAATTTTCCAAATGCCTAGGGCATTAAGAGCGAAAAAGGACTAGAATGGATTTGACTAAAATAATTAAACAACTGTCAAAGGACGATCTAAGGTTCACCAAGGATTTGTTGCCTGTGAGTAGTTGGAAGTATAGTATTGGATGGACCATATCGACATTATTACAAATAGATAAGATTCTATTTAGAATGAGTTGTCATATGACAAATATGGAAATGTTTCCATATTGGGAGTTGGAAATTGAGAATTTATGTCTAGATTAGAAAATTTTATGCAAAAAGGATGTTTAAAGGAATGTACATTGAGTGAGAGAGATCACATCTATAGAATTGTTTTGTAACAATTTATGATAGAGTACTTTGTAATTTCATTGGCCAAGTCTTGGTGACTTTTGTGCTATGAGTTTACAAAAGGATCATTGCATAAAATGTTAGAATCTAACATATTCCAATAGTGGCAAGAACCTTGTATTCTTACACTAACGATAAGGATTAGGAATTGTGAAATGAATGTCATTGGAAAAGTTTTCAATTGATCTATTTCACAAAGCACGGACCATAGGAAACATAGTGTGCATGCTTGATGCATGGGACAGCTATTGTTGTAATTCAAGTAATAAGTTGATTATCCGAAACATTAAACAATGAATAATGAGTAGTCAATATGGTGTTTAAATAAAAGTGTTTTATTTACACTCAAAAGTTTTGAGGCCATATAGGATTAAGTATTATTATTGTGTTTCAGTTTTGCACGTTTTGACTTCCAGAATAACTGGGTTATTCAAACCTCCACAGTCGATCATACTTTGGAAGTAGGTATGAAGCAAGACTGTCATGAATCTGTCTGTAGATTGTCTAAAGTGTTTAGACATAGCACAAGTTTGCTGCAGAGTTCATGAGTGCTTTGATAAGATTAAAGTATTGGATTAAACCCACACTCACGTGAATCACTTCATGGATTTTATCGCAAGTGATTGTAAGTCGATAATATTGTATATTCTTGAAACTGAGACGTGTGAGTTGTTATTTGTTGGTCGGTTGCACATTGATAATAAGAAAACGCACCAGTAACTTGGTGTTATAAAACTTATTGTTGTGTGTGATTCGATCAGTAAATGCAAGGGAGCATTTGAGTCGAAGTTTATCCATTCCTTTTATCCAAAGTGGGATAAAAGCAATATCTGTGGGCCCCTCGATGATTTAGTGATGACACCTAAGCGTTTGGCCAAGCCGGGACTAAGTTGATGTGTTCAATTGTAGTCTGTTGTCAGTTGTCATAAATCGGAAGTCGGGAAACATTATAGAGAGAATGATTAAAAATTCATGTCTCGTGTCTATACGATATCTTGAGAATGGAGAAATATATGATCCCTTATCTAAAGGACACGCGTATCTGATAAGATCAAAGTTGACAGCGGCTTTTGAAAGCTACGATTGCTGATCAGGTTCTGAAGTTATGCAAAATAGGTATTAGACTTATCCAAGTGGGAGACTGTTGGATTAGTGTTTAAGTCCATACCTATTTTGGTATGTACTTGACCCGATTATGAGCATGGTCATTTTGGGTTGCCTTCACCATAACAATAAGTAGGATGAATTAAGGAGAGAAAGATTTAATTATGATTTGTTAATATATTATGAGAATAATATATTAAAGGAGAAATCATATTGTTTAATTAATATTAGTCAAGAATTAATTAAGAATTAATTTTGTGGCTAAAAGAGATTAATTAAACTTAGGGGACTGGAATTGTAATTATAAGATAATTGCAATTGGGCTATGGATCACCTTGGAATATAGGTTGGACGAATTCTATGGGGAAACCCATTAGAAATCGTCCAAGGCATGTTCCAGAAGGGGTACATGGGCTGCTTAGGGCTTAAGCAGTCAAATTAGGGTTTCCTTGTTAGATAACCCTAATTGCCTACCTATTTAAGGAGCCCCTAAGCCCCAAAAACACGGGGAATGATTCCCTTAGGGTTTCTGGACGATTTTGGGCAGCCACTTCTCTTCTCCTCTTCATCCAATTGCTTAGTGGTGTTTGTGACTCCATTAGAGGTGCAACACTTGAGGCACAAAGCTTTCTGAAGCCAAGGAATTGATTGTTATTGCTACATAACAATCAAGGTAAGATCCAAACCCTAGTTTACATGTTTATTTGATTAATTGTATGCTAGATCTAGGGTTTATAAGCCTTGGAGGTTTATTGCATGTTCAAAGTAGAAAAACTAGATCCAAGCAATTAGGGTTGCATGAACACCATAGGAATGTTGTTATGCTCAAAATCCATCAATTAGAACTTATAATATATTAATAAACCATAAATAGCCTCTTCTCAAAAGTCTATCCTTACAAATGTTCTGGTGACATGCAACCTAAATGGACCATGCTACTCTCGGGTAAAATACATACTAATTATAGTTATGCGCTTAGACACCTAATCCAACAGAATCATCCTAAAGAACAAGTTGTTGGTGATCCTTAAGTTGGACTCTTGACAAGGGCTCATCTACGTGCTAAAAATGAGGTACTTAATGCACATCAAGAATTTTGTATGTTCAATGTCTTTATATCGAAACTGGAACCGAAAACAGTTAAGGTTGCATTGGATGCAACCTGGCTGGATTGTTGCAATGAAATTCGAATTAGCTGAATTCGAAAGAAATAAGATATGGCGTTTAGTTCCAAAACCTAATGATGTGTCGGTAATCGGATTAAAATGGATTTTTAAGAATAAAACCGACAAAGAGGGTGATATTGTTCGAAACAAAGCACGGTTGGTTATTAAGGGATATTCGCAACAAGAAGGAATTGACTATGATGAAACCTTTGCCCCTGTCGTGAGACTTGAGGCTGTTCGAATATTTCTTGCTTATGCAGCATACAAGGACTTCGATGTATATTAAATGGATGTCAAGTGTGCTTTTCTGAATGGCGTATTGGAAGAGACTTTGTATGTTGAGCAACCACCAGGTTTTGTAAATGATAAATTCCCTGATCATTGTTATATTCTCGATAAAGCTGATTATGAGTTAAAACAAGCACCACGAGCCTGGTATGCTACTCTTACCAATTTCTTAAAACTCTCGAAATTTAAACAAGGATCAGTTGATCCTACTTTCTTTCGAAAAAAAATTTAGGGATCATCTCATGCTTGTTCAAATTTATGTAGATGATATTATTTTTGGATCTACTAATCCATTGTTGTCTAATGAGTTTGAGAATACGATGAAAATCCAATTCAAGATGAGGATGATGGGTAAGATCAATAATTTTCTAGGTCTGAATATTCATCAAAGCAGGGATGAAATTTTCATCAATCAAGAGAAGTATTCATGAAATCTACTTGAGAAGTTTGGAATGACGAATAGTTCGAAATTACGAGTATCAATGGCAGTCGGCACACGCTTAGGTTCTTCGTTGAATAAGCCTGTTGTTGATCTTACATTATTCAGGAGCACGATCGGTTCGTTACTATCCTTAACTGCTAGTATACCTGACATTATGTTCGTTGTTTGTAATTGTAACAGGTATCAGTCGAATCCCAGGGAACCCCATCTAACTGCTATGAAGAATACCTTTCGATATCTCAAATGGACTGTTTCATTGGGTTTGTGGTATCCTTCAAAAACTGGTTTCTTCATTCAGGCGTTTTCCGATGCAAATCTTGGTGGATGTCAACTCGACAGAAAAAGAACAAGTGGTGGATGTCAATTATTGGACGGGAAGCTTGTTAGCTGGGTATCGAAGAAACAAACATGTGTTTCGATTTCTACAGAAGAAGCCGGATATGTTGCTGATGCAGCTTTCACTTCTTAGATCATATGGATACAAAGTCAACTTTGTGATTATGCAATCAACATGAAAAATATACATTTGTATTGCGATTCACAAAGTGCAATACACATCTACCATAATCCAGTGCAACATTCTAAGACTAAGCATATAGCACTTCGCTATCATTTCATCAAGGATCATGTCGAGGATGGAAATATAGAGGTTCACTTTGTAAAGACAACGGATCAGCTTGCTGACATTTTTACAAAGCCTTTGGATAAGAAATCTTTTCTAAGGATCTTGTCTGGACTAGGAATGTTTGATTCAACTGGTGTTCCAAGCTTGTCTTCATTATGAAATAACGAGGAGTCAACACATCGTTGAACGAATTAGATGTTACTGTTCACTATTCAGCGTTCGACATGCTTCGTTTTCGACATATCGTTGAATGGTTCAGATATTACTTCGTTCTCTGAGAAGACTTGTTGTTTCGAAGTATTATGTCTGGATGTCGATAAATTTCACTTCAAAACTCTGGTAACATTTTTTATATTGTTTTTATAAACCAAAAATACCAAAAACATTTTATTTCTTTTGTCTTTTAGTTTCAATAACCCCAAAACTCCAAATTTATTTTTTTTCTTTTGTCTTTAAATTTCAAAAAAAAAAATTAAAAAAAGATTTTCATATTTTTGTCTTTTCATTTTAAATCCATAAATATTTTTTTGTGTGTTGTTTTGCATGTTTAATGCTTTTCTGTGTAGTTCTCAATCGACATATTCTGGTGGATATTGTTTTGTGACAATGGGGAAGGTATAATTTCGAATCCTTGCACTAGTTAGGTGTTCCTAGAAGCATGCTGTTGTATGTCAGACTAAGCCTCATAGACTCAATGTATTTTGAAGCCTTAATGGATCACTCACTATGTGGGTTCCTTCCCACTTAATCTATATTCACATTAGTCAATGAGCTACCTTTCTCTTCTCATCTTGAGTTAAGAGATTTCTGCTTAGTCCTTATCATTCGCAGAGGTACACTATGTTTCTTAACCAATCTTTTTCATCAACATAATTCTTCACGAATCACACACTTCACTTGCATATCCTCGACATCTCTGGTAGAAACCAACCAGTATGTAGATATTGCACAAGTCTGAGTTAATGATCTTGATTCATGAGTCCGTGATGATGGTGAAACCCAACATTTCTAACTTATAAAGGAATTGATGGTGAACTTTATGTTCAAGATTTTAACAAGACATTTGTTTCTATACCTCACGTCGATATTCATAGTTGTATTTCTTCGTTTTGCGTGATCTTGATGAAATGTTCTTTTCCCAAGCCATTTTCGCCCAAAAGATCCAATACTTTCTTTTTCATGGAATATGATTTCTGTATGAATATCAGTTTGAACCTATGTCACTTTAAAATAAATTCTAAACCTCACTTGTCCCTGACTACACTGGTCATACAGGTAATTTTGGTCATTGAATTCACACTTATGTTAAGTTGTGATCATGAAAATAACTGAGCCTACCTTCGAAGCCTACCTAAAAGAAGCCCTTCGATACTCATTTACGAGTATTTGATTGTAGTTCACGGGATATCACACAAGCGGTTCGATACGTCTCTTGATATTGAATGAAGTGATCTTTTTATGGGATCCATCTGCTTTTACATCGAATGTTTATTTGATGTCACTATACGCACATTTTTTACCTTGGTTCCCACTCTTTCTTTGGCACATATTTGCACAAAAAATCCTCGAGGCCTTGGGTATTACCAACTCAAACCTACATTTCGAAAGTCTGGCTATGATTTCGTTTCTCATCCCACAAGCGAATGAGCCCTGCCTCGAAACGAAGGTTCAGTGACGGTTCTTATCCTCTTGGGGCAAGCGAAATGATTGATTGATGTGATGGTTTGGTTGCTTCACGGTTATTAAAGAAAAAGTGCTCATCACTTTTCAGACGTGGCGACTTTTATGACAACTGGTCAACTTTCCAAGGATACACATGGCACGATTCTATTGATAACCGCTTCAAATTCAAATTGTGTTCTAAGTATAAAGGATTTTATAGGTCACATATTCAAACTTTACGTATCCTGGTTGAATATTATCCCCAAATTGTCTTTCCTTATACTTATCTCTTCACTCAAAAACTCCAAAACCCTAACAATGGCGGAAACAACTGCTCATGTTGATCCATCCCAAACCACTGATGAAGCCACATCTCAACCTTTGTTGAAGATCCAGAGTTCAACCAGATGTTTCAAAATATCCAGAAGGATTACAAATGTGGATCGTAGCTCTAAATCATTTTGTGCTTTCAACGGTGATGACTTCTTCTTTTTCAGTGCCTATGACCTGGTTATCTTTGACCGGTTCCACTGCTGTGTTCAACAAAACCTCCAAGATTGTAACATTCCAACTTACGAAAAAGTACAAGCTCTCAAAGAAACACTTTGCCCAGATCATGAAACTTCCCAACAATGGTCCGTTTTATGAAGTAACCAATGATCAGTTGATCCATATGTTCAACGAGATGGGTCATCAACCTACACTTACCAGCATCAGTCAGTTTAGGAAGTCCTCTCTACCTTGTATCTGGAATTTTCTCTTTGGGATTTTTCTTCGATGTCTCACAGGTTGAAGTGTTGGGCTTGACAAAGCCAAGTTGGAACTATATGCCCTAATTGTTGGGTTATATTATGACTTGAATGTGGACTATGTTTGACAATTATGGGAGGAGTTCGGAACTGGTATCTCCCATACCAATGTTTCCAATGGAGTCTCGTGTGCTAGGTACTGGAGTTTAATTCTTCAAGATGTGTATGAGAAGGAAGGGATTCTTGTTCCAACTGATGTTCCCAAAGCTGAGTTGACAATCTATCAACATCTGAAGATTGTTGAAGATGACTCGGATATTTTTCCTACAGTTGCAAGAATTTATAATGTCATGCTTAGTAAGGTGGATCCGACGAACCCTATGCTTATTGCATATCTGTCCAACATAAACCCTAATATGGAAACAGGGGATTTGTTACCCAAAGGAGTTGAAGGAACTTCGAAACGAAGCAAAGGGTCAAAGAAAGGAATAAAGGCTGCTCAATCGAAGCTCGATACTGTGACTGTTGAGAAGGAGATTACAAAGCCTGTTCAAGATCATGTTTCCCACGCTGAGAAAGGTCCTGAAAAGGAAGTGGTTCCTTCGAAATCAGGAGTTCTTAAAAGAACAAAGAATCCCACACACAGACCTCGTCATTCACCAAAAAGGAGGCCTATTGTCGACGAAGTTCCTGAGAAGTCTCTTTCTTCACCAACGTGGGGTTCTGTTTTGAAATTCAAGAAGATACGTAAACCTTAGCAAACTCGAAGGGGTGTGTTGATTCACGAGCTTCCAGCTCCTGTTTCACCTGCATCGAAAAAACGAAAAGCCAAGGAAATGGTGAAAAAGATTAAGAATAAGACGAAGCAATTATAGGATCCTTTGGATGAGGTTGTTCAGGAGACTGATTTCGAAGATGATAGTAATCCATCTCCAATTCGCAATGAATATTTTGACTTCGAATCACATCAAAGGGACTCTTCAGTCAAGTCGGCGTTCGAGGCGACGGGAAGTCTGGGAGGCTCTGTGAACGTATCTTATACAGACACAACCACTACTTTGGGTGATTCTTCAACGATTTCTATCCCTGAGCAGACAACGGTCTCGATGGCTGAATCCGTTTCGGAGGAGGTTAGAACTTTAAGCATCCCTGTGAACATATCTAATATGGACACAAATGTTAACATGGGTGATGGGATGTCGACATTCGAAACTCAAGGTGACCCTCCTGTTATAACTTCATTTTTTCCCATTTCACTCATTCTTTCGTCCATAATTGAAACCACTATTATCGACACTTCTACTTCTCTACCACCATTTATTACTCCTACTCCTACTTCATTACATTCTTCCACTATTTCACCTACCTACAACAACATCATGAATCAACCTATCACTTCTCTTTTCCCTTGTCAATCCACCGAAGGTGAAAAATCAATTCTAGATGTCGATCCAGAAGATGATGAAGTCATGGTTTCGTTTGCTGATATCTAGTTCGACTCAGAGGAAGAAAACATTCCTGACCATATGCTTATGTAAGGAAAGCAGTTCAAGATTTTGAATTGAAAGTTGAATTCCTTACTCCAGATTTAGGCTGGCACTGGGAGTCGAAACACAGTTTCTGGGATTGAACTTGATGTTCTACTTAAAGCCCAAGAACATCAATTGAAAATGGCCATGGAGCAGATTGAATCAAAACATGAAGAACGTTTGAAGCGTCAGAAAGTAGAGAAGGTTGTTAATCTCAAAATCGAGGCCATCCAAACCGAAATTTCGAAGGAGATTGTTAAACTTGATCAGAATTACTCAACTCTTCATAATAAGGTTGATGTAATTACTGATGTTGTTAAGAAAGTTGTGGAGTATTATACTTCTCTTAACATTCACGTTTCTTCGAAGACAGAGTCTGATTCCAAGGTGTTTGCCACACTGGAAGAGTTTTTGGGGAGTTTGAAGGAATCACTTTCGACGCTTAATGTCACTTCTCCATCTTCGGTTTCTCAGGAGTCTCTTTCAAAAATGGTTTCCTCTTTGGAGTCTAATCTGAAAGCCGAATTGGCTCCTCTTCTCAAGCTTGTGCATTTGATGCCAACAGATGATCCACCTGTTAAAACAGAGGTACAAGTGGGAGAAAAGGATGTTGGATCATTCAAGTATTCCGATCAAGGTAAGGTGGTCGGGAAGGTAATGAGCACACAAATTCCAACTTCACTTCCTACTTCAATGTCAACAACCTCAACCACAATAATTTCAAACCCATTGAACAAAGGCATAGTTATTGGGTCTTCTGTTGGGAGTTCAAGTTCAAAGCCACCACCTTCAAGTCAAGCTAAAGGTGATAGAGGGAAGGGCATGGTGAAGGAGTTAACAGAGGAAGAGAAAAAGAAAAATCTTGAATAGGAGATTGAAAAACAAAGACAAATCAACAGCATCATGAGACAAAGACAAGGTGATCCACCAGGTCTTGATAAAGGAGATCAGACAAAGCAATATTGTTATGAGAAAATTTAGCACATTGTTTGTCTTAGGAATATGTATGATTTTGAAAAGTTCCGAAAAAGAGCTTTGATATTGAAAATACATATTCCAATCAATTGGATTTTCCCATCAATCAAATGATGTTTATTTCATCTCAATATCAGTTAGTGGATAAATTTGATGACAATGAAGAATACAAGAAGCTGAAGATGAGATTTCATGTCGTTCTTGGGAAGAAGGAAGAAGAAGTCTGGTCCTTTGTCAAAATTGTCATTGTTTTGGGTGTTTCCAAGGATCAACTGTTTGAAGGCTTACTACAGAACTTTCGTTATCATGTAGTTTAAGCTAATAATGTCGCATGTGATTTCTCAGTTGAGGACTTTCCTCTAATGAATCTTAATGATCTCATCTGTGTTGCGAAGATCTTGAGCACTGTTGATGTGTCGAAACTTCAAGTAAATAGAAAAGAAGATTTCTTGTTAGGTTTTGCTCATATCAAGTTGTTCATAGACAATTACTACGATTGTTTAGCCTTGACTGATGTGGGACTTGCTTTAGCTATGGGAAGACAAGTAACAGTTCCTCAATCAATGTTGAAAGGTCCAGGAAGTCTCAGAAATTTCGAAGATGGAGAAATTTGTGTTAAGCCTCTAGGTGTAGTATTCGTTGGGAAGAAAAAAAAATAGAAAATGACTAAGTTTTTGTTCAAGGTTGAAGATGTTGAAAGATATATGAATTCGCAGTACACGAGTCTTCTTGTTCGTCTTAACAACGACAAAAGGAATTCAGTTGGTGATAAGGCTGAGATGAAAAAGACGATCATATGGTACACGAAGATTCGAAGGGTGCTACATCAAGCAACGAAAATGCTAATGGCATAGGATTTGACACTTCTCACAAAAGGGGAGAATGTAGGGTTCGAAATATGTTGTGAGATGTCGAAGCATCTTGTGTCATGTTTAGTGTCGAAATTAGTTTACTTGTATTCGTTGTATGTATTTCATAAGGGATGCTATAGAGTTCGAAGCGTATGTACATAGCCCTTATGTACTTTTTGTTTACTTCTGGTGTTCCTATAAATAGGGATAAATATAAGGGTTAGAGTAACTTTTGGGAACTTCGTGTACTTTACACTTTCATTCACTTGTATATTTCCAGAAGTATTAATTGAGCCAAACAGATTATATTTACGATTTGTGTTCTTGAATCATTTCATACTCTGATTACTTTTCTATACTTGATTCATACGAACTACATGTATGATACTCTTAGGTGTCATGTTTGGATAGGGTAATGATAGTATTGATTGGATACCCTAGGGGTAGTTTGGATAGTGTCATGCTTAGTATGTGTGTATGTGTATATATATATATATATATATATATATATATATATATATATATATGTGTGTGTATATATATATATATATATATATATATATATATATATATATACTTGTATATGTTTTTTTATTAATCATGACAAAAGTGTATATATAATTTGGGTTTCGTAGAACTGATTACAGACATCATGTATTCATCTATTAGGGTCACACCTGAAGAATACATGCAACAAATTGCAACATATTCTACCAAGCAGGTCAATAAACTTACATAAATGGGGTGAAATTTTAATGTTGAAAAGCTTATTTAAATTATCATGAGGAAAGTAGGGTCAAATTGTTGGAAGCTATGAAGAGGTATCTTAAAAGTAATGTAAAGACTAAGGTAATGATCTATCTTCATGAGGAAACTGAGTCTGGTTTAAAGTTGAAGAAGTCAATTTATACAATTATGGACAATATAGAGAAGTAGAAAAATGACTATGGAATTTTTGTGGCAAAGTATGAGTTGAGCTCAAGTTAGTTCAAGGTGTACGTAATTTGATGTTTATTTGCTTTCTTTTAATGTCATTTGATGTTTTTGTCATTTGTAATTGTTTCTTGTGGTTTAAAAAAGACAAAAGTATTGTATGGAATTTGCTTAACTAATGAAATTGTACTCTTTTGGTATTGTATGAATTTGCATAGGTATTTCTAATGTTTAAACTTTAATGTGTATGTAAGTTTTAGTATTTGTATGTATGGCTCTTGTTATGAACTTTGTTTAAGAAATGGTTAAAAATAACAACCACTTACAAAAAAATTGCAGATTTGCTCCCTGATATTTTCTGATTTTTTTTGTTATAGTACAAAGAGACAAAAGGGCAAGTGAAAAATTAAATATACCCTCACGTGAAGAGCACATTGAGCCGGATAACAAAATGATTTAATGGGTGTTATCTTTAGGGACCATGAGCACAACAAAACCTAGTTTTTTTGGTTAACCTACAAGTTGAAAAGTTGTTGAACCAAATCCAAGAAAGTAGAAAACCACATGGACCAATTATATAATTTTGTCTTGAACAAAACAACTTGTGATCTAGTCGTCTAATTTATTATATGAAAAATTAAATATCCTTCAATATTTTGTTTCTACCTATCTTCATACTCTTATAAAATATTGACATGTGGACACCACTAATTCTATTTTCTTAATCATATCTTTTAATTTTAACACTTGTCTTGATCACATTAGTGGGAAGACGAGTAGCAACAAAAAATAAGATGATATATGATTTTTCTTATTATATTTCCAACTAATTGGTTTGGAAAACAATTTTGAGCCCATACTTCACCAAAAAATGCACATTCACATGATTTTACTACAATATGAAATACATATAGTATTATTTTTTTTGTGTTTAGGCTTGTACATTACAAGGAAAGATGTTAGAAGATTCGTTGTTGGAATTGTTTATTTGGTCTAGGAAGAAAGCATATGACATAGCCCATATAATAAAAAATATATATATAATTTGACAACTGTGAAATTTCGTATTAATTCCACATGGTAAGAAATAAATTTTCTATACTTGTGGGAAATGAATCACTTCTTTAGTCTCTAATTTACAATTCGCGATTAACTTTTAATATGAAAGCATTTAGTCTATGATTTTATGATTTTTTAAATACGAGTCGATGATAGAGAAGAGGAGGGCTTTATTCGGATATATAGATAGTTGATGGCGTGGCTCTTTCACTGCACTAATAAAAATTGATAATCTATCAATCTTTGCAAATGAATGAAGTTTATTCAAATTATATCATTTCGAGATCGACAAAGAAGAACACAGTAAGAGTAACTTATATCCGATGAATTCGTTTTATTTGCTAACTATTAGTGATTTTCTCCCTCGTCACTAGCGGCTAAAAGTTGGTGTATGATAATACTGCTACAAATTGTCAGTCCCTCAATTGAGTTATATAGTTCTTACAATCATTTGAATTTGATCGGTTGATAATATCCTACAATGCATAGTTGGGTCATATTTTTCTATCCAAATACATTTGATGTGACTCACGCACACAAACTAAAGAAGAATACCTCTTTTCAATATCTCTTATTTGATTTAATGCATATTTTCATTGTTGGTTTCCAATAACAATATATTTCACCGAATAGGGCCGGATACATAACTAGTAATAATATTATACAATGTCATAATTGATAAGTATCATGCATAAACAAGCTTATGAAAAAAAACTCTGCCTTTTTATCGAGACGAGTCAAATTTTTAGAAAGTTGAAATAAATAAAGGTGTCATAGATAAACTCAAAAAAAATCATATTGTTAATGCTCTTAACTCCAAGTGTGCAACATGGTGCGGTGGCAGAAGTGTGACATGGACAACTTCAGATCAAGCAGGTGCAGAGGTAGGCTTAGAGTGTATACATTGTCTAAGAAGCTTGAAAATATCCCTATTAGAGTCATCTGGAGGTGGTCGAATGGTGAAGTAAGTCTGCAGAAAATTAGTGAACAAAATAGCAGTAGCCACCAACAAAGCCACCGTCTTCCACGGACTGCTAAAGTGGACGTTAATGAGCTCCGCCGCCCACATCTTATACTTGTTAGTACAGTGCTTCTCAATGCCTCGCCGGAGCTGGTGAAACATGTAGAGATTCACCGCCGGTGCCTCAATCTCATCATACATCTTCACCACTTCTTCATCTCGACCAAGACTATGAAGCAATATGTGGTTGCTTCGTAACTCCTTCACGTCATCACAATGAACAACTAGTGATTTCATTACTCGAATATAAGTCGAAACTCGAAAGTCATTCGGATTATGAGGGCACATCTCGTAAGCGATCATGTTCAAGTAAATAGCTTTTGAATTCAAGTACACCGCGCGAGGCACAAGCTCAAGCTCACCATAGTAACAATGCGAGTGAAACTTGATGTCTTCGGTAGAAGGCTCGTTCTTGAAGTTAATACATTTTAAGAAAATTCCTTTAGCTTTGAGTTCCATAATTGATGGAAGGGATCGATTTCTCTTTACATAATTCCATTCTTCATCAGCATCATCATCGATCTTTTTTATCGAATTATTAGGATCATGACTAAAATAGGAGGAAAGCAAGATGAAATGGGACCTGTATAGCTCGAGAAGATGAAGAGGTTTCTTCATTCCAAGCACCTTTTTTCCCTTCGTGGAGACTTCACCATACTTCAAGTAGTTAAAGAAGTCATTTAAGATCTTTTCGCCTCTATCTTCTTCTGGGAATCGCAAATCCAACAAAACTTGGAGTACTATAAACGGGATTTGGTTCTCGAGCAACAAAATGTCACGAGCTACGTGTGCGAAGCCCAATGCCCCTAAATACTCATTATTTAGCATCAACAAAGTGTTCGGACGATTAGCAACACACTCTATAAAGAACAAAATGAAGCAACCATCACGCAACATCATTCGATTAAACTCTTCATCATTGTATTCATCTGCAGAACCATCGATATAACACTTTCTAGCATCGTGTACAACTTCGAATACCTTGTTGTATAACGAACCCATGGAAGTTCCACAGCTCAAGCGATACTCCTCGAGCGTTACGAGCTTGTATTTCTCACCTACGGCGAGGTCGTCTCGTTTATGGTGGTAAGGGCCAAGTGAAACCACCGTTGGTTGGTAGCATTGGCGGTTTCTTCGACCTTTTTTGCCTTTTAAGAGCAATGGCGGTACTTTCTCCATTTTTCGTTTGCGTTCTGAACGTTGGGTGGTCTCATCGTCTTGAAGGCAACCTTCCCATTCCCGGGCAAAGCCATGGTTAACATTGTTTGTTGGTTCTGGTTGATCACCTTCCGGTATTTCAACACTTACATCTTCACTTTCGGACATCTCCGTCTCCATTGGTTTTAAATTTGTCTTTCTGATATGAGAGAGAGAGAGAGAGAGAGAGAGAGAGAGAGAGAGAGAGAGAGAGAGAGAGAGAGAGAGAGAGAGAGAGAGAGAGAGAGAGAGAGAGAGAGAGAGGTCAAAATATATTTCATGAGAGATGATAAAATATTGCATTTTCTAAGTAGACATGTTTAACAAACTTTGTTAAATAACCATACGAACATCTTAATGATGACTTTTTTAATATGATCTACATATATGACATTAATGGCCTAATGGGGTGAGTATGCAAGCAATGAAAGTTTGAAACTATGGTTCCTTTTTTTATGCCAGGATTAGATTAGAATTTAATTACATATACGATCATTTTTCTAGCGGTATTCCGTATTATTATTGTCTACACTATAATTAAGATGTGTTGTTTAATAGATTATATCCCATGCCATTCCTAAATAATGTAGGGAGTCAAACAGGAAGGTTTTCTTATGGCTTGTTCCAAATTCCAACGGAGTCCATTTCCCTACATTGTTAGTCTATGTTTTAATTTTCTTGCATCAATAATAAGTTTTTTGCATCTTAATAAATCGAAGTAATTTTTCTTTTCTTTTTTTGTGTATAATAGGCATCCATTATAAGTTATAACTTATAATTAAGGCTATGACTTCTTACAACAATAATAATATACTTCAGTGAATTTATATATATGCCTACTACTTATTCACCGTGCATTTGATTACACACGCCACTAGAAAGAAGAAACACAAAAATGCAATGCCATGACCGGTAATTAGGACCTTGTTGCTTAGACATAATCGATTCCATCAAAACCTTCTACAAGCAGGAAAATGTAGTTTTCTCCACTTAATAAACATATATGTATATACATAAATGTATACAAAGAGAGCGAGAGGGAGAAAGAAAGAAATAAAGAAAGCAACAAAAAAACCAGTATATGTACCTTTGTTTTTCAGTTGAAGGCATGACTTGATTTGTCTGCTTGAAATTGAGTGATATAACAAAACCTTAACGATACTTAATATAATAATAGCCACTTAAAGATGCTTATTATAATAATTGCCAAAAGTGGAGCTTGCATTCAAGTTAAGAGAATAAGTAGTTTGCTTGTAACTTTGGCCAATTTAATTAGCATCTATCTTTCTAACATTTACTCCTTTTATATATATATATATATATATATATATATATATATATATATATATATATATATATATATATAATGTGGATGGACAACTATTGTGCGTACGTATGGACAATGCTATTCTATGAGAATTACTAAAAAAATAGGTTGTTTAGTAATGTGAATACATTCAACATCACACAACTATCGTCATTTTCATGCATTTTTACTAATTGTAATTCATTTTTGATACCACACATCGTTTTTCACTTATTTTCATTCTTACAGAATATGATCCAATAAATATTCTAACAACATTCTGACAGAATGAGAATAATAATAAAAAAAATCTATAATAACCTTATAGACGATTTAATTGGTGAGATTGTGTGATAACGACAATAGTTATGTAAAATTGAAAATATTCACATTATCAAACAATATATATATTTTTTGTCATTCTCACAGAATAACACTGTCCGCACGTCCGTACAATAGATGTCAATCCACATTTGAACCTAACTCTCTCTCTCTCTCTCTCTCTCTCTCTATATATATATATATATATATATATATATATATATATATATATATATATATATATATATATATATATAAAAGATCAAATGAGAATTGCATTGCATATCATTAAGGCCCATGTCTACGACGCGCAACGCATGTCAAGGAAGGCTATGTCATAAAGAAGATGACACGCATTCACGTGTCGTAAAACGACGCACATTTACGACTTGCATTGCATATCATTAAGGCCCATGTCATAAAGAAAGACGACACAGATTTTTGCGTGTCATAAAGTTTAAATGTTTTAAAAAATATATATATTTTTTGTAAATTTACTAATTTTCAAATTACATCACACATTTAATGTCTCATAATATAAAATAAAATTCATACACAAAAAATAAAATAAATTGCACAAATTATAATATGTCATACAAATAATCATTCAAATGTTAAACAAAAATAATACATTGCTAACATTGTTTATACATTCCTATAAAACCAACAACCCTCGGTGACCTTCATCTAGATCGAGGGTGACTTGGATCGATGGCGATGATTGGATTTTAGATACACGACATGATTATTGACCTAAGACCTTGTGCAACAAGTGCATTCCATGCCTTATTTCCAGCAACCATCACACGTTTTAGTGTCTCAAGGGCTAGTATACTTCCTCCTTGCCATCCAATAGCTTTCATTAACAAGGAACCACCTGTAATTTATTAAAAAAAACAAGGTCAAAACTGAAAACTAAGTATGCCCTTGCTCCTTTTTCCCCTTAACATAGGTAAATAATGATGTCTATCTGGATAGAGCTTGTTCCTTTTCTAGACTGTAAGAGGATTTTGATTGAGTCATTAAGTCCATTAAGCCAAAATGAAACAGATACTAACAGGTTTAATGAAGTACATGACCAAAATCAAAATGATCATAAAATATAAATAAATAAAAAAGAGAGAGACCTGAGTTGTTCAAAATCAAAATGATCATTTAAACAACTGTAAAGAATCAAGAACATACAAAAATTGCTCATACCACATCAATCTTCACATAAATGAATAACATTATTCCAATATTCACAATGTAGAGAAAGCCAAACAGGATCTGAAATAACAAGAAAGATTATCAGCCAGCAACAAAATTCTGTAATTGTCAAATGCAAGTAAAAATTCACCTGGGCAGGATAGACCTGGCCTCCTGTAACATATTGTATGGCAGAGTAAACATAAAGAAAGCAAACAGGATACACCAAATGTCCTGTGTCTCCTTTTAGATTGTTGTAATCTCTCTCTCCTTCAATAAATCCATCAACTTGTATGTCATTCCTAGAAGACAACTTGAGGTTGGAAAGAGCTTGCCAAGCCTGTAAACGCTTATATATCAGTTGACCAAACAGTTATAAAATATAAAGACATAAAAGATGACGATGTAAATTAAATAAGAAAGTGTTACCTTCTTAACATGTTGACTTTGTGAGTTTGTAACATTTTGAAATTGGGAAGAAAATGATCTACAACAAATGAAAAACAGTGAAGTCCCAAACATGATATCACGGAAAAGAGAAAATTAAAGATATAGAATTAGTTTTAGTAAATCATGGAAACTGTACCTTACAGCTGCTGACATGGCTCCTTCAACACAAGGTTTTTGTGTTGACAAAGAGAAAAGGAAACTTGATTTCAAGAATTTATCTTGGTTTGAAAAATTATCAGGTGCTTTGGCATGTTGAGACCAATTGTCCCTTGTAGGCTTGTCCACATGATTTGAACCTCCAGCAAATTTGGCTCTTTCGTGTCATCGTCCATATGGATTTCCACCATTTTTTGTCTACCAAGATCTTCCCATGAATATGAAGAAGTTGTACAAGGAGGAAGACAACACCATGAATCATCACCACCTTTAGTTTGTCGGAAATAGAAGGGTAAAAACATACTTCGGTTTTCAATCCTGCCATGAAGACCCACCCAGTTTTATTTAGTTTTTCTCAAGATTTTGATTTATTCGATTTGTAATTCATATACCAAGAAAAAAATTCAAAATTACCTATACTGGTTGGAAAATGAATTGGGACGAAAGATGAAATCAAAACATGAGCTTGTTGTTCCACTTCTTACTTCAACTTTCAGATCTAAATATTTGCCAGTAGTTTCGTTTTTCAAGGAAATGCGCATGGAGCCTTCATTTGCAACACTAAATGGCATACTCTATTGGTATCCATCGATTTTCAACTAAATTTTGACCATGAAAGAAAAGTAAGCACATGATCTATCAATCAAGCAAAGCAGTGATATAATAGATTCATAATTTCATATCCAAACCTTCAATAATTCAACTTTGATGGATTCCTGCCATTTAAAAAGATTTGGAGTATCGATAGGATGAAGCCAAGTAAGTCACTAAGTACCAGATTGTTGCATACATAAGCTTAATCCAACCCTGTTATAAAACACAGTGTGTGGTTGATAATGGACAACCTGTATTAAGTAATTTAAATCGTAAAGTCAAGTATAGATCTACAGTCTAAACTGTAAAGCTAAAATGAGAATCCATAAATGGTGTAACGTGTAAGTAAATGTATTTACTTTTGTCCTATCAGATGTCATATTTACTACTGGTGTAGCCTTGTTTCCCTCCAAGGGCAAACCAGAAAGTTGAGTTTTCAGTTCCTTCTTTACCAAATTTCACAGTGACGCCAGGCTGAGAAGAAGATAAAATAAAGTTAAAGTCAACATACGATACAATTCAAACTTATCATCAAAAACTTAATATCATACCTTCAAAAATTCAGCGATTTTTGCAGCAATGTTGTGCTGGTCAATACTACTCTGGTTAATATCCATGCCAAGTGAACAATAAAGAACCAAATTGAAGAAGAAAGCATTCATATGTATTCAATGAGGTCGCCACCTGAAACAAAGAAATTTCATTAGCCCTAATTTTAACGAGCCGCACGCAATTCCAAGGAATAACTTCAAAGGGGCTCATAATTAGGACTGTTAACAAAAATTTGGAACGACAAACCACCCTAATCAAATCTCGAAAATGAAATCACCTTTAAGAAACGGTGGAGGCATATGATCTTGATAGCAAAGATGATTGAAGGGGGTCGATTGGACAAAGTTATAAGAATGCTTGTGGTACGGCGGAAATGAATAGATGAAACGAGCCCTAACAAATCCAGAATCGAGCAGCGTGTGGTGATGATGGAGCCCAGTAGCCATCAACATATATATGGTTCTCTATACATCAAAATTGATGTTGGGTTTGCGATTTGTGAGTCACAAACTAGTCAATCGTGTTCTTGAATTCGTTATGTAGAAAGAGGAAGACAAAGATGGAAATGAAGGTA